TCCTTCCTTCCTTCCTTCCTTCCTTCCTTCCTTCCTTCCTTCCTTCCTTCCTTCCTTCCTTCCTTCCTTCCTTCCTTTGATTTTATTCTGGAATGTGGCCTTTCATTTCAATGTGAAAAGTTTCTACTGACTCGGGAATGGAACTATAGTCTCCCTTACTCCTCCGGCTCTAAGTTATAAGACTAGTTTCACACAAAAAGAAAGACATGTACAGCTGTGAATGAAATAGACATAAAAGAATATTAGCAATGAAGAAATGATCAAATGTTTAACAACTAAAGCTAGATATTGAAATTATATGACAGCTCCCTTTTCTAATTAAGTAGAATTCTTTTTTCACCTTTTCTTTGATACCTTGGTAAGGACTAGAGACTTAGCTTTGAAAAATTCAAGCCAAAAATTTTAGTACTCCCTGAGATCTATAAGAGGGCAGGACCCCAGTTGTGGACTAGTATTCTATAAGTTACAAACTGTAGTTATATTTTGTGGCAATTGCCTGGCATTTGTACTAGAAGCAAAAAACACGAGTTTCTTTGAATGGCAATTCATACTGGATAGGTCTACTTGCTAGTTTTGGTCAACGAAGTGAATATATTTCTTGTGACTAATGGTTTCAGATAAGTTTAAATTATTTTGTTGAGAAATTAATCACAGAGTCAAAATGTTTTTCTTATGGTGTTAGCTTTGTTCTTTTATTGCAAATAGGTTTAGTTCTAATTTGATTAAAATGTTAAAACTGATTATTCTAAAAATGGTCCCAATGAATGTATTGATGGCAAACACTCAGCAGTAAAAGATACCTAGTTAGTTAATCACTGGTAGGTGGGTGTATTTGTGTTAGTGATTATATAGAATAAAAGAAATATCATTAGGGAAACCTGTAAAATTTAAAAGTGAAGATGATGTTTAATTGATTACAAACTGAAAATTAGTTAGATCTTTTGGCTAAGAACTTTGTGCGTTCATAATTTATTCTCTTATTTTAAAATAGGATACCTGGTGACTTAAAAGGCAAAAGGGGATAGCATTTCAATGCAAACTGAAAAATAGAGAAAGCAGCATTTCTGAATTCATGGCATCTTGTTGCTCTAGAAAGCAATTCTCACACCAATGAGCCTTAACTTTAATCACCACTACCAATGGGATTTTCACTAAGATTCACTGCTGATAATGAGTAGAATTTATCCTTAGGTTTTAGAACAGTTTTTAGGTGAACGGGTATTTTTGGGGCCTATTTAAAAAACTTAATGGCTATGATTTTTACTTTTTTAAAACATATTTGGCTCTTGAAATGGCAGGTAAGCAAATTGTGAACGTCAAATAGTGAGTTGTGTAACAATTAAAATATTTTAGGTGTGTTACTCTATGGGTCAACACTTGTAACTCATTTTAGATGGAAATGAATGGGAACACTTCCAAGATAGGAATGGAAGGATTTATCATTTCATTTTGCTCAATATATTTTTAAAAACTTAACCTAGGGTCAGTGTATTTGTGCATAAATAACTGTATGCATATGCACTGTTCTCAACATGTATATTTTATCCAATCTTTAATATATTATCTGAACATCATCCAGTTTTGTACACACTTTATCCTAGAATATATAGTAGGCATTTTTTTAATATATGCATTTTTGTGTACCAATTTCTGAGCTGTAAGCTACATTGTACATTTGGTAATATGGTAAGTTTGGACACATTAATGTGTTCTGATTTACATATATATTCAGAAAGTGAATGGGATAATGCAACCTTAATGAACTTCCCACTCGTCCTTTATTACAAATGGCTATTACTCTTTTAAATAAAATATTTATGCTTAATCTCTGTACATTAAACAAAGTAACTATATTTGTTACTATTTTAAGAAACATTTATATATTCTATTAATTTTTGGAGTGGTGAATGTAAAGAGGCAGTCAATATGGGTATATAAACATCATCAGGTTTAAATATCTTAAAATTCAATAAGCATTTTATAATGCTCTTGTATTTTTATGTCTTAAACTTATGGATTATAAAAGATTGACAATTATATTACTTTTCCTCAGTCTAGAAGAATGCAAAATGAAGGCAGAATTGTGAACTGGAAATTGATTTTGCATGGCACTTCTACCCAACCTGAACATATGAAGGAACCTCGCATCTATACATCATACAACACTGTCCAAAATGACAGGAGAGGTGTGGAAAAGATGACAGAGTTTGTGGAGGTACCCATCTAGCCTTATACCTATCCATAATTTATTTATAAGATACGAAACAAATTAGAAGAATGGAATGGTTTTTCTTCTAAATTAACATGTTCCAAATCAACATTGCTTTTCTCCCTCTGGGAGTTTGGAATTTCCCTGCATTAGATGTGATCATGACTACTTGATTAGACGGTTTTTAAAGACAAATTCATGAAAGACTTGCATAAAAACAACAGCTAGGTATGGTAGTTCAAGGAAATTCCTGGTGTTGTGCCAATGTGCTATTCATAACCACTACTGGCAAAAAAATTGGAGAAGCAACACTGGAAAATTTGCTGTTGCCTTAATGCTCTGTCTGTTAGCTTTTTGTCTGGTCACTAGTTAGTAATGCATATGGTTCAAAAAGCTCCTTATGTTCTAATTCATGTAGAATAAATACATAAACGTCCTGCATATGCTGATTCCACAAACCATTGAGAAGTTTCCCCACAGATCTCTAGAGCATCTTAAGTGTGCTGAGTCTCAGGCATGTATAACTAGCTACACATGTCTAGCACCCCAGAAACAGAATTCTGTTTCTTTGTTCTCAGGACTACCAGTCCAATCAGCACTTGCAGAAAACTTGTGACCTTCTTTTGCTAATAATCCATAGCTCCTGATGTTTGGTACCCTCATATCTATCTTTCAGGACCACACCACCCAAGAGAACCTGAGTGACAGACCCAAAGTGAAAGGAAGCACTAGCAGCAAACAGCAAAACCAAGATGAGGTTCCCTCTGATGCAATGCTCCGTCTACTCCAAAATGCATTCCATAGTCAGTTGGTTGGGAATCATTTACCAAAGAAGATGCTAAATGAAAACACAGATATTCCATATGAACGTTTCTATCAAGCTCTTGAGAAACTAAACCAAGGCCCCCAGCTGAGAGACTCAGAGGAGTCTCTATATAGTGACTATGTTGACCTTTTTTACAATTCAAAATCATATAAACACAGGGATGACAGACTACTACAAGCTTTGATTGACATTCTAAATGAGGAAAATTAAAAGTCCTTGGCAGAAACACTGGGTTGGAAATATTCAGATACCCCATCTCCATTGCACTCCTAATTTCATACTAATTGCCATGTATTGTAACATTTCTGTGAACATTTATTCCATATCTATCAGCTGCCTAAAGAATAAGCAAAATGAAAAGGTTGCTAGATGTGAAATAACAACCTATTTATTCAAAGCATTCAATAATCCTTTCATACAGGCAGCCTCCTTCAGGAATGAGTAAAACTAATATCTCAAGGAAATAGCACAAATTCACTGCAACAGTTGTGTTTATTATCCCTTCTGTACAAACTATAAATATATTAGATTTTATTTCTGCTGGCCTATCTCAAAATGTAAGGTTGTTTGGAGATACCAGGAAACTTGTTTGTCTTTCTAAGCAACAGAAAATATGGTCCCTGAGCACAAAAGGCATAGCACATAGCCCGTCTCCTTGGCCCCTCTCATCCCAGTTTTGAAACTAGAAAGCCACATCCATGCTACAGGTATAACATAAATTTGAAGATAGCTCAGATGAGATCAAAAAGGGCCCTAAATGTACAATCAATAGTGTTTCAGGCAAAGAAAACCTGGAAAATATATTTGTTCCACTGATTTGTTGAGTACAATCCTATGCATGCTTATTCCTAAGTAAATCCCATTGATTTCAGTGGGTCTTACTCTCAGGGAAATATGCATAAGATTACAACTCTAATTTATGGAGAAGACTTGCAGAAGAAACAAGGCAGTGTCCTCATAACACCCTGCCAATTTCTTTCAGCCCAAATACTGAAATTTATTTATTCTTAGATCAAGTTTTTATTTCCTTTCCCCTCAGTTTCCTTTTTAAAAACACATTTTTTCCCTACAGTTGGTTAGTTTCAACAAATATGGTAATTCTATTTTTGTTGCGGTGCCTCTTCACTCTCTTCCCTTCATCAGGAGACGTCCCTGTAACATCAGCCAAGCCAGGCATGGATTTTGGAAAACTTCAAAAGCCTGTCCTGTTTATTTCAGAGGACAAGTCAAGAAGAATCTGCTAACACAAGCAGTCCCTGACAATTGGAGTTGAGTCCTAATAGAAAGGCACTGGTTCTTCTCTTTCACTGGGATGAACATCAGCCCATTAGGCTCTCAGGTTCATACAGTTCAGGAGATGGAGTTCTCAGAATATATACAGAGAGAGAATTAAAAAGAAGAAGAAGAAAGGTATTCTAAATATAAAGGCCAAAACACTGAATAGAATTATATTGGATTTCTATTTTTTTCACCAGGAATGACACATTTCCTAGCACCCAGCTGAGAGACTGATGTCTGTTTAAAACTGATATGATAAGCCAATAACCAAAGGCCAGAGAGTTTTTTTAAAAGTAATGAAATATTCCTTTTTTTTAAACAAAAATGGTTTGGCTATTACATTAGACATGGCAGCACTTACAGAGAATAAGTATTAGGCTGAAGCCTGTCAGAGACTGAAATAGATAAAAATATGAAAAAGAGATCATGAAGGAAATGAAGAAAGAAAATAGGAGTAAAGGAGGCTGCAAGATCAGAAGGAAAAAAAGAACATGGGGGGGAAAAAGCAGATTGCAGGCAGAAAGCTATGCCAGAAAACATTACTTTCTCATTTAACTATAGTTATGACAATCATGAGAAAATCACTAATAAGGTTCAAAATAACATATAAATCACAGTTTTTGTAGCGGTTAGTTTTGCAATTCATTTGAAACCTATTGTAAACCCCACCATGGACAATTAATGTCTTAGATCACAGCCAGGAATCACATCTTTTCTCCTCTCCCCCCCCCCACCTCAGTTTTTCTCTCTCGCCAGATTAAAATCAAAACAATCATATTACCAGAATGGCCTATCTTTTCCTCAGAATTACATTCGGGGGCACAAACATTAGACTAGGCACACAGGTTGCCCACCATGACTTAAATCGGTGTTTCTCAACCTTGGGAACTTTAAGATGTGTGGGCGGCAACTCCCAGAATTCCCCAGCCATGGGGAATTCTGGGAGTCGAAGTCCACACATCTTAAAGTTCCCAAGGTTGAGAAACACTGCCTTAGATTAATCAAGCCTTCCTGAATTTCAGTAGCTTGGTTCTGGATGCTGCAAAAATGGGCTAGGCAGTCCAACCCCTGGCCTAAGGGGATCTCAGAGCAAAAGCTTATCTTATTTGGGAAAAAGCTTATTCCCTATTTGTTCTACTACTCATGTGCTTCCAGATTCAAAAATGGAGCAACAGGGACACCACCTCTCCCTCAATCACATGGGAAGACACCAGTATCCATTCTGATCATTGCCTCTGTAAGTGGCCCAGCATGATCAGTGTGGAAAGTACAGCAGCCCCGAGCAGCATAACATCAGACACATTTCCTGCCCACAGCTACTGGTTCATTGTGGGGAAGGGGAACCTCCTGTTTTTTTAACATTTTGACACTCTTCATACTGAGAAGAGGTTCTTATGATACTGTAGTTTTAGTGCTGAATTCCTGATAAATTCTATTAAAGGAATAGAATCACAATAAAAGAATTATAATTATCCCACTCTTCCTTTTCCCCCTTCTATTAAACTTACATCATAACTTTTACGCTGAATAGATTTGATTAGTATTTTTTGGCAGTATTCTGTAATTACAACATTTACAGCAGCAGAAAGTTCAGAGAGGATTGTCTAAATCAGGGCTTCCCAAACCTGGGTAAATTACCCAAAATTGGGTAAAAGTGGTTTTTCTTTGGGTAACGACACACAAACCCATTACCCACCACGACAGGGACATTTAAATTGACTTAAGGAAAAAGGACTTTCTGATAAGCAGTTTTGGGTAATGAAGGAAAATGCTTGGGAAGCACTGGTCTAAATCGAAAGTACTAATAGAATTCAAGATCTGCTGGTTACCACAAGGCTATCATAGGGAAGAGGATGTGGATTTATTGTCCACAGTCTCGAAGGGTAACCAATGGATGGAAGCTTCATGGAGAAAGAGGTTTAAACTTGAAATAAGGAGGAATTTCCTGACTGTGAGAGTAATTAACTACCATAGTGGAACATCTTGCCTCCAGAGTCATTGGGGCTCCATCCATGGAAGTATTCGAGAAAAGATTGGATAGCCATTTACCTGGGATGGTCTGAGGTTTCCTGCCTTAGGCAGGGGTTTGGACTAGAAGGCCTCCCAACCTATGATTTTATGAGAAACACACAACAAATTTATTTCCTTTATTAAATATTGAAAAAAATGGGAAGATATATTGTACATATCACTTTGGCTGGATTCACCTGTCACCTTAATATGTCATTTGCTTGGTTTTATGCTATGTGGCTCCAACCATTGTTAAAACAATCCTTGGCTTAGTGCGATGTGTGAACCCAGTCAGAGTTCTAATCCTCCTTTCTAGCTTAGCCTGTGAAGATGATAAATTTCTATCTAAAAGGATCAGCGATAGCATTGTTATAGTGAAAAGTACTATTAAATAACAACAGTTGCAAAGGCCAGTACATGGTTGTCATGCTCTTTTATATACATGAATTATACTTTTTTATTTAAGATCAGTATTGTAGCCAAAATTAAATGAAATCTAAATTAATCTGATGTAGATTCTAATATGTGAATGTTTCCAACCTAGACTGAATCCTAAGGATGCTAAATTATTTTTGTTAAGTCTTTTCTTGGTGCCAGTATGTGTTTGTGAAAATGTAAAATGAAAGACAAAAATGTTTTATGTCAAAGAAAATGAACATTATATTTTCTTTACAGGTATTTATAAAATACTAAAGCTTTTATCAGACATAATTTAAGAATAAATTATGAGAAACTTTAAAAATAATAAATAACAAACCATTTTTTATTTGAGCAAAACAGTTTTGTCCAATAAAGATTTTTGGATGGCGTGTTGTAATTACAACAGCCACATGTATGTGATGTAATGTTAAAATTTACATTTGTCTAATCGTACATAATACATAATACAACATAATGTGTTAGCAGAGCCCAGACTGTGTGGTCTTACCATTTGTAAAGCAACACAACACTGAAGCAGCTCCTAAGAGAAATTAGCTGAATGATATTAGGCACATTGGTCTAATTGCTGAACAAAGACATGGAGAGCTAAATGGAATGGGGAAACTAGAGACAGCATTTATAGCCATTTTGGTGGCTGTTTCCAGTACAAGAATTCTGCTATATTGCTAAGGTAAGTCTTGTTAAGGTAAGTCACCTTGGCCTTCTACTGTAATGCAAGAATATGCACCGGCAGTTGTGTGCATTTATGTGTGGATGGTCTTGAAAAGAGATCTGTTAATGCAGTGCTTGGAATCAGCCTTCCCCAACTGGATTCCCTCCAGAAGTGTTCAGAATGAATGAATGTCCAGGATTCCTCAGGAAACATGAAGGGTGGCTTCTTCCTACTACATACTTAGGTGAATGCACCTTCGTCCCAGTGAAGAAATCTAGTTGTCCATATACGGGCACCAGTACTTACAAGCCAAAGAAGACCTATGGAAATTTGGCAACCTTCTTTTCTTCAGTGTCAGAGGCACATCTAGAACAATTGTTTTGGGTGAGCGAAGTGTGATAATGAACAGGATCAGGAGAGTGAGGGGTTTGCTTTGTATTAAAGTACTTAGGTGAAATAATTAATGTTGTTAGTTTACTTTTCTTATAAATGAAGATGAATATACCAGGTGTTGTTACAAGAATCAGCTCCTAAAGCTTGTGATTTATTTGTTGAACATCTAGGCCACCCATCTCCAAAGTGACTCCGGATGGCGTCACAAGTTAAAAGAAATAACATTATATAAAAAACAAACAATTTCCAAGGGACAATATAATCATAAAAGGGGATCTGACCAACATACCACCTTAAGGCCTGGGGAAAAAAACAAGTTTTTGAAGGACATATAAAGGCAGGTGAGGTGAGGGCCATACTGTGGTGCTGTTACAGAAATGGCCCACTTTGAGTTATACTAGATGGCACTGCTTAACTGACAGGCCAGAGTGTGAAATGACAGAAACAGGTGGTCCTTTGAATAGCCAAGCTCTATGCCATTTATAGGTAATAACCATCAGCTTGAACTGCACCCAGATGCTAACTGGCAACCAATGTAGCTCATGTAGCAAAGGTGTTACATAGTGCAGCTTACCCATCTCTGCTCGTGCTGCTGCATTATAGATCAGCTGTAGCTTTTGAGTAGTCTACAAAGGCAATCCACGTAAAGCACCTGCAAGGACCCGGGAGGTGACCAAGGCATAAGTGACAGTAAAAAGGGCCTCTTGATCCAGGAACAGTCACAACTGGCACACAAGCTGAACCTATGCAAAGGCCTTCCTGGCCACAGCTGCCACCTGCTACTCAAACAGCAACTAGACTCCAGGACAAACTCCCCAGATTGTGCACCAGCCCTGAGTGAAGAAATGCAACCCCATTTAGAGCAAAGATGAAATATCCTCAGAACTGGAAGGACCAAATACCCACAGCCACTTGGTCTTGTCGGAGTTGAGCCTGACCTCATTCTGCCCCATCCAGATCTCATTAGCCACCAGGCACTAGGAAAAGACCCCAACTCATTGTTTGACCAGCCAGGAGTCAAAATGTACAACTAAGTAACATCA